TGTGGTATTGGGAGGTTCAGTGACCTCTATATATGTCTGATGTCAAGTTTATAGACTTCTCTTATTTCCTTCTGAAATAAACAGACCAGTGTTCATCAAGACAACAGAGTCATACTTCCCTCTGTGTGACCATCTCTACAGCTGCGTACCTCCTTGAATGACCTCTACAAAAGCTTCATACAAAGAACATTGTGTTTCTGTGATACTCATTGAGTGCTGATCCAAGATCAGTGGGGCCTAGTGCTAAAGTATGAGATACATATGGAGACCTTTTATTTAACACACAGTGATATGTGCATTATTCACTAGATGTGTTCCCACTGAATGCTGCTCATTTCATGTGTTGTGTGTGTCTGGCTCAGGTGAACAGAGAGGAGGAGGGAGACATGAAGGAGGGATATAAAGGACGATTGGTCAGTGTGTCCAGCAGCCAGAGCAATGCCAGTTCAGGGTTTAGTGAGGAGAAAGAAGAGATCTCCGAGGAGGACAGTGGTGAGCTTACATCACATGCAGGATGTCATTTAATTTATTAATAATGAACCATAAAACTTGTTGAACAGTATGACAATCTTTAACTAGTATAACAATGATTTATTTAGAAGCAAAAATACATGAAGGGGATAGTTTACAAAAACATTTGAATTCTGTCATCATTTATTCTACCGTTCAAAAGTTTAGGGTCAGTAAGATTAATGAAAGAAATAATTATTTTATTCAGCAAGGATTCAAATATGTCAGTAAGTAATGTTACAAAATATTTCTGTTTTAAATGAATGCCATTTGTTTGAATTTTCTATCAAAGAATCCTGAAAAATATATCCTCAAAAATATTAAACAACTGTTTTCAATATTGATAATCATGAGAAATGTTTTGTTTTTTTTTTGCAGCAAATCAGCATATTAGAATGAATTCTGAAGGATCATGTGACACTGAAGACTGGAGTAATGATGCTGAAAATTCAACTTTGTCATCACAGGAATAAATTACATTTTATAATCAATTAAAATAGAAAAGAGTTATTTTACATTGTAAAAATACTGCGCAATATTAATGTTTTTATTGTATTTTTGATCAAATAAATGCAGAAATAATTCTTTCAAAAACATTTTAACACCCACAAACCTTTGAAAGCTAGTACTACTGTCATGTCGTTCCAAACCTTTCTTTCTGATCCAAAGTCTTTCTTCCATGGATCAAAAATATTCTTCAGGATATTGCACAAAAATTCACCTTTTGTGTTACATGGAAGAAATAAAGTCAGATTTGGCAGTGCATGAGAGTAAATAATTAATTTTCATTTTTAGGTGAACTATTCATTCATCTAAAACAAGTCTAATTTTGATCTTAATATTAAAATTAGACATTTTGGGTCAGTTCATTAAAGAGACTAAAGTCTTACTGTTTGTCTTCTGCAGGTTCTCTTCCTGAATCCAACAACCCTCTGCTGCTTGAAGACCTGATTTCTTACAGCTTTCAGGTAGCCAGAGGTATGGAGTTTCTCGCCTCTCACAAGGTAAAACATCTTCCTGTCTGCATCATGGTATATGAACATGAATATGGAATTGGTTGAAGTTTTTTTCATGTTTTCAGTGCATTCATCGTGACCTTGCTGCCAGAAACATCCTGTTGTCCAACAACAATGTGGTGAAGATATGTGATTTTGGTTTGGCCCGAGACGTATACAAAGACCCAGACTATGTGCGCAAGGGAGATGTGAGTGTTCTGCCATCAATAAATTAAAGTTCATGGTCAACAACATAAAGAATGATCAGGGCCAAATGTGTGTAATGAATGTGTTTTGCATTGAAGGCACGGTTACCACTGAAGTGGATGGCACCTGAATCGATCTTCGACAAAGTCTTCACCACTCAGAGTGACGTGTGGTCGTATGGAGTTCTGCTCTGGGAGATCTTCTCACTTGGTGATGTCAATACTCTTTACGTACATCAGATAATTCAAGCATTCGGCACATGCCACAGATTATTTTTTTCATAACACAATTCCTTTGAAATATGGCACAATAGAACTATCGACATTTGTCGTTCTGCCATGTCATAGCAAGAGAATGAATGTGAGGAAAACTCATTAGAAAGCATGAAAGTGAAACTTTATAACAAAGTGACTGATCCCCACATCTATCTCTGACTTCAGAACAGTCCCATGTAACAGTGTTTCTGGTCCATAGGAGCGTCTCCGTACCCGGGGCTCAACATTGATGAGGATTTTTGTCACAGACTGAAGCAGGGGACTCGGATGTGTCCTCCTGAGTACAGCACCCCAGAGATGTCAGTTCTCACCCGTTTACACCATATAAAACATGTTCAATCATTGTCCCGTGAACCAATACATTGCTAATAATGAGCTTGTGGGATTTGTCTGACAGATATAGCATTATGATGGCATGCTGGGAAAATAACCCTGAGGACAGACCTTCTTTCTCTGCTCTTGTGGAGATACTGGGAGACCTACTGCAGACCTGCGTCCAACAGGTGGGACATTATTTAATGTGTTTATTAAGCCATTTTCCTTGTTTTTATTTGACCGGTCAGAACTTTTTTTGCACACACTTTTTCTTTAACAGAATGGAAAGGATTATGTCCCACTGAACACTTTTATTTCTGGAGAAGGAAATACGGTCACAGCGCACCTCGAAGAGAATGACATAAGCCAGAAAACACTGGGAACTTCAAGGTACAAATGTATGTTAATATGTTAACGTATTAACTGAATATGTACAATTACATGTGAAATACAATAATTACAATTCAAAATATATTTTAAAAAATACACTTGTTAATATTGATTTTAATTTCATTTTATTCAAATAAATATTACATAAAATTCAATTAAACAAAAAATAAAATAAATATTAAATTAAATAATTACAACTTTTCAAATTAATTATTAAATAAAATTAAAATAAATATTAAAGTACAATTAAATTAAAATAATTTAATATGTATTTTAGCTCTGGGAAAATCAAAGCCATCAGCACTTTTGAGGATCTACACAAAGAAATCCCTGATGTAAGTGTTTTAGGATATAGTTGAATTTCACTTGGGTGAAGTTGTTGAGATTGACTTTTTTTTAATTATCTTACTTTAGGACAACCAGTCTGACAGTGGAATGGTTCTCCCGTCTGAAGAGTTGCTTCAGGTAAAACGGATGGACAGATTCAAAACCAAAAACATAACCAAGTAGGTGTCATGACATTGGCTTTGATGATCTGTTACATAACCATTCAAAAGTTTGGGGTCAACAAGATTTTCTTTTTTGAAGGACTTTTAGTTTAAGAACTTTTTATACAGTTTTTTTTATTCAGCAAGGGTGCATTAAATTGATCAAAAGTGACTGTAAAGCCATTTATAAGAGCAGTTTTAAATGCTGTTCTTTTCCATCACAGGAATAAATTACATTTTTTTAAGTACATTAATTTAGAAAAGTTATTTTACATTGTAATATTTCAAAATATTACTGTTTGTACAGTATTTTGGATAAATGCAGCCTTGGTGAGCATCTAACTTTCATAAATACTAAAAAAATCTTACCAACCCCAAAAAGTGTTATGTTAAAATAAATGTGTGCAAAACAAGCATCAAGTTACATATATGTAATCAGTTACATAAAGTGAGGTTACTGCCTTTTGTGTTACAGGTTCTTCTCCAAAGGTCAAAACCAGTGCATGAAGCTGCCTGCAAAAGTGCTGCCTTGTATGAATAGCGCCCCCTGTGGTCATCACAGGGAGGTTCCTCTTGTGTGTTACTCAGAGGTGCTGCTCTCCCCCTCCAGACTGTGAAGCTGCTGTCCTCTACCCATTTCTAAAACACACGTCAGCCAACGTGCCTGTAAACAGCAGTCAACATCCGTTACCACTACCACAAAAACACTGCTCATCTCAACTGTTTTGCTTTCAGTACCTTATTGTGCTAGGTTTGTCCTGTCAAACCAGTATTTCTGAACCAATCTCTTATACTTCTATACACATTCCCACATGTTTTTACTCAATGAACTTCTATTAATTTTTTAATCACTCATAATTACTCTTTAAGGATTTACTTCTTCAGGCCTGTCAGTTTCCAGGTATTTCATGACTTGTTGATACTTGCAACTACTAATCAGCATTTCATCTGTTTTTATTTTGAAACTCTTATCTCACATCTGTATACCTTCTTTGGAAACCACTGGTAATCTGTACCACTTTAGTTTTGTTTTAGTAATCACAGAGCAGCTAATATCATTTATGAGCTTGTGAAAAGCATTTATTACAATCACTGCTTGTAGGTACCAAATGTTTATCTGTAGAGCGCATTTCATGTGCTGCAAGCCATATGCTGGAAAAGTTCACCTGACACTATTTATTTACATTCAGTAGTCTAGTATATGCTGTATTTAATGCTGAAAAGAATGAAATTACAGATTTCAGATCTAGAGCAAACCTTTGACACTGCCAGTGATGCACAAGGCCTGGAAATGAGGACAGACCCTTTTAGTATTGGTAGAATAAAAATGACATTATGATTAAAAATGCTTTTATTTTAATGTTAAAATATAACTTATTCTTGTGATAGCAAAGCTGAATTTTCAGCATCAGTACTCAAGTCTTCAGTATCACATGATCCTTCATAAATCATACTAATATTCTGATTTGCTGCTCAAGATAAACAGTTGTGCTGCTTAGCAAAAAATCGTACTGACTTTTTAACAGTAGTGTGTTACATGGGTTAAAAAACAACAATACATTTATGCTATTTGGAAGCATCTTAAACCTAAAATAAGAACCAAAAGAAACCTGAATTTTATGCTATGTTCAAAACCTTATCTGAGACTGGGCCTCATTGCTGCTTTTTCAGTGCTGGTCATTTTTGTAGCATTTGTTTTGGAAAGCATCAGATTCTCCTCTGTGCTCTAAGAGCCAAGTTGCAAACAAGTTCCTTTTTGCTGCTGCAGTTTGTCATTCTCTATTTAAGCAGCAATCACGCCATTTAATAACAAACTAATGTTCTCTTTTATTACTCTTTATTAAAATACTGCTGTACACACAAATATTTCAAAAATGTGACGAACACAAGAAGGGCATAAAACTTACTGGGATGGTGAAGGAGGATTTCATGTACGAGTGCATATGTATGTGTGTCTGGAGTGCGGTACATGATATGAGATCGGCCTGTAAAAGGTGTGTATTAATGTGTGTGTGTGTGTGTGTGTGATTCAGAGAGGGATACGGGCTTGGCACCATGTTCACCAATTAGTTTACTTATCAGTTGACTAAAATAAAAAAGAAGAGGGAAAAAGTACATTACTGAACTTACAGCATCCTCAGCTCTGCCTGCTGTATCCTGCACCCTCTCAGTCCAGTGTGGCACACCCAAATCTGAGCTGCAAGTCCCACCTGTTCCTTGACTCACGGATTGGGCAGTTACCAATGACAGGTCAGACACATTCAGTCATTGGCATATTCCTGTCAGGGATCAACCTGAGCAAATTCCAAACTATTTTTCTGGATGTCGTCACATAATTTGTAGGTCAAATCATAGTTAAACAAAAACGAAACCAATACAATCCCAACATCCTGCTGGGATTGGTCCACAGAGATCACACTAGTGAGGTGAGAAACATCCCATCATGCATCTCTGTACAACAACTTGGTGAGGAAAGGGAAAGACAGTAACAACACAAGAGAGCTCTACTGAGATTCACTATATCCAAACCAATACAAGCGTGGAGAGTGGGAAAATGAGAACGAATTAGGGAAAAGAATGACAAACTGGACAGAAACTTGGGATGCTCCACAACAGAGGCATTAGAGGACATTCCACGACATTCCACAATGAGACAGAACTGGTTTCCCTTGCTAGCGTGGTCCAGTTCTTTGGTTCCTATCACAAAAGCTTGACTTAAAAAAAGAAAAAGAAAAAAAGAAACGACAACAAAAATCCATCCTCTCAAAATCCGATTTCAAAAAGCATCCATAAAACGAAAAAGGATGTTGCGAAATTCTGAAATAAACGACAAGTTTACACAGCAAGAGGAGAGAGCACCCCTTTTGTCATGGAATCCCCCTCGACTGCACGCAACCAGTTACTTCCCCTCCCGCCTCCAAGTTGGCCAACATTTAAATGGGTCATTACAGCAGACAAGGAGTGGTGGCACGGTACTACTCATGCCACACATTCATAAGTGGTCAGTCTCATCAGTTTGTCCCATCAGAGCAGAGGACTCTGCACACATGACCAGTGGTCTGTTCCCATTTCTAGTACCTCATTAAAAATGCACAAGGAGATGATGTGGAAAAACGGCGCTCTGTTTTTCTTCTAATTTCATGTGTGAGACCCCGGTCCTCAACGCACCCTGTGGGACACGCACAATCACTTAAAAATAAACTTAAAATGTTTAGTGCATCCTCCAAAGAAAAAAAATAAAAATAAAAGCAGGAAGTCTCTTATTTTTTGGACATTGTTCCCAAGTCTAAAAAAAAAAAATCATCATCACAGCTCTCAGTTCAGTTCATAATTCTGCAGCTGTGGTGTTGTTGTGAAAACTAAAAAAATAAGTTTTAGAAAACAACTTTTTTTCTGGACAGAACAGTGTATTTGACTGGAGGTGAGCAGCCAGCTGGCTCCGCCCTGGTCGTGAGATCATCATTCTGCACCTATGATTCCAGGCTGTAGTGCAATGTGCTCTGTTTCAGGCAGTTCCAGCCCACTCTTGTGGATGGCTGGGGGTTACAGGGGACCGTTCGTGGCGGCCAGCAGTTCCTGGAAGGTGCTCTCAAAGCACCGCTTTAGGTCTGAGTAAGTCACCACAAGCACGCTCTTCTCATCCCGTGACACCAGACTGACCTTCTCCGGTGCTCCAGCATCCAACTGCAATGAGCAATTAAAAGGAAGTTAGTGACAAAAATAGTGTTAGTGACAAAAATAGTGGACTGGTTAAATTAGCAAAGCTGAAGTGATGAATGACAAATAATAGAGTTCCATGAAAAAGACATTTACATTTTATTTTTGCTTTTAAGGTTACAAATTATATATGTAATACAAAATGTATGTAATTATACAATTAAATACTTACAATAGGAATATGGTTAGGGTTTAGCTGCTTGTAATTATGCATGATTTTCATGTTGGTTTTGAAAAACATATACACTATTTAAGATACAAATTTAAATCAATGGCTCTAAAAATGTCATGTGTTGTAACTATCAAGAAAAATTTATATTTTCTTTATACCATAAATACATGTGTATTCATTTATTTTTATTTTATTTTTTTTTTACAAATATCATGAATTAATATCATGGGTTAATATAAATATATTAAATATCACATGACATTACAACCTAAACTAACGTTCCCTTGTCATAAAAAAAGTCAAATAATCTTTAAGAGACTTATTGATCATGACACACAATCGTGAGGGTCTGCAGGTTTTTGGTGTCTAACCTGACTAAAGTCTAAACACAAATATGCACAAGCTAAACAGGCTCACCTTATTGAGGCAGGACACAATGTGGCTGAGGTCGATCCAGGGCGTGCCTGCCTCAGTTACCTGGTGGAACAGGTGATCTCTGAAGAGCTTCAGCAGATAACGGTCACCAGTCTCAGACCACGTTGGGTCCTTCTGGAACCTACAAGAATGAAAATTAAATGTTGAAGTGAACCATTTTGAAAGTACTCTATAAAAGGTTGCCATTTCCGAAAGGTTTCAATACTTTAGCTGTAATAAAAGACTTACTCTGGTCTCTCGTTGATCGTTCCCAACTTTGCCAGTAGGCGGAACAATCGTCCATTTTGAACCTCCTGCAAAATACAGGTGCATAAGCAGAAAGTTGTAATAAAAACTTTTAAGGATCATTTTTGAGTAACAAAAAAAGGTTATTTTGGCTTTGCGTAAGTGAGACTGCAGATAATGAAAAGGGAAGTTAAGAGAGGAAACCAGGTCATATTTAAACGTCTTTCTGAGTCACATTTGCTCTCACATCAGATGTAGCACAGCATCAAACAAACACAGGAGACACGCACTGTTTAAAAAGTCTGTCCTCTTGATGAAAAAAAGGGGTTAAATACATCAATGCATGTTTGTAGGCATTTGTAACAGGGTGGTACAAAAAAAAAAAGTCTTCACACATCTGATACAAATGTTCAAAAGGAGGAAAGCAGAAGAAGAAAGAATAGCTGAAACCATCCAAAATATCCGCAGTGATCACACCTCCACCCCCTCCATTGCAAGCTCAGCACACGCTAGATAATGGCATACTGGTTAAATTGGATAGCATGGTCTGAAGGGTCTTTCTTTTTGTTTCCTGAACTGATATCGAATCTACAGCCTAGTTGTGGCTCTAAATGGAAAGTGACAAGATAAAAAGACTGACAAAGTAAGAGAAAATAATGCCCCACCTCCACCTCCACCGGCTGTCCGGTCTCAAAAACAAACAGCACAGCATAACTAGTGTAAGTCCTATTAAAAAAATGAATGATTCTTTTGAGCTGGTTCTTTTAATGAATCACAAATAAAGTCAGTTATTTGTTTAAATTAGTCTGACAAATCTACTGAATGAATTATTGAATAAATCACTGATTAAAGTATCAACACCTCATTAAGAATATCAGTGAACTGCAAATTTTTATTCTCAGTGACTTTATTCTCAAGTCAATATAATTACTGATAAAAAAAAAGTGTAATTAAGTTTTTTTTAAATAATAAATACATTAATTCATAATAAACTGACTTAAAAACTATACATTAAATATTTACATTAAACAGCATCATTCTTTTTGAAACACTGGTGTTTCCCCCTGATTTTTCAATGCGAAAGTAAGCTGTTTTCTTTGAATGTGCGAGACTTCCAATTCATTAGCCGCTATAGGGAAATATGAGAAGAATATCAAAGAGCAGTAAACGGTAAAACTGTTTGTGCTACAAACCAGTGTGTTTATAATTAAGACACTAAATTAAAATAATATCGTTAAAAAAAACATCAGCTTGCAGATTCAAGCAGCATAACAAGCTGTTTTTATACAGCTAAAAATAACTGGAAGCAAATGACACCAAATTAAATTTACAACTGGCTGCAGACATTCTTACATAAAAAAATAAGGTGGATAGAAAATATAAATTTCACATTTGAATACCTTGGCCAGGTCCTCTTCAATGACATCGTTTCTCATTTGCGAGGCATCGAGTTGAGTGTAAAATCGTGCTCCAATCATGGGCATAATGTCATTGACACTGCGCAGACGGCTTTGTTCCGAGAGCAGGTACCTGAAGGTCGAAACATGACCATAAGATGTGGCCCCCACATTCAAACTAATGCACAAGTGTGAATATATGAGTGCATGAACATGCTAATTATTCATAACATGACACATACAGAACCACAAACTGTCATATGACATAGTATATCCACTTTGAGAGCATTTAAGCTATAAAGATGTGTGTAAGAAAGAGAAAGAGGCCCACAGAATGAGGTTCTTGAGGTCAGATGAGTAGTTGATTGACACCAGCTCCATGGCCTTCTGCAAATTTTCTCTCTTAATGCCAGCTAGAGAGTTACACGCCAGAGCCAACACCACCTTCCCCAGGGAGATGAGATCTGCTTGCTGAAGGAAACGAAGAGAAACAGCAACTGATGAAACTAATAGTTTAGACCAAAAGTGTAAAACGACAATCACTCAAGACAAAAATGAATGTTACACCGTGTCCTAACTACACAGGACGCCGTGTGGGATCTTTTCCATGTTAATCTGAGTTTTTGTCATAATCAGCCACGATGGCGACATTTCTATTTTAGAAACGGTTTCTATTTCTGCGACTGGAACAACAGCATACAAACTATGATAATGATAATCTCAGGTACTGATTATGTGCTTTAAGTTAAGTGTCTAATGTGAGTTTGAATATCATTTTGTATGACCTTTATAGCCATACTGAAAGCAACAATAGATAGTTTACCTCAGATCTTAAAAAAACAATTTTGTCTGTTAAAACTGCAAACTCAATGTGAACCAACAAGCGTATTCCATAACAAAGATGGTATCAGTCACTCGGTATGTACTTTCAATAAAGTTAAAAAGTTCATATTTATGAATTAGATTATAAAATTGTCCATTTCGTTGGGAGTGCAGTGCGCTTCTGAATGGCTGTGATATTTGAGTGATTGTGTCGTGGTGTGTTGTCATGTCGTGTCTGGTGTGGACAGCCAAATTGCTTGTCGCTGGAATCTTGTTGCATCGCATCTGGTTAGGACACGGTGTTACACCACAACAAAGCAGCCTTTAAAACACACTGCTAGTACAAAGAACTTCATATCAATATTAAAGTGGTGTATAGTCAGAATCATGAAATTCTGGCAATTAATTGTCAAAAATAATTGAGATTAATTTATTAGTAAAATGTTATAGACACCAATGTTTTGGGGTCAGTAAGACTTTTTATTTTTTAAATAAATTCATTTTATTTAGGAGGGGTGCATTAAATTGATCAAAAGTGACAGTATTTTTGTCATACTTTTTTTTTTTTTCAAGTTCAAAAGAAAAGCATTTATTTGAAATGTCATTTACTTACCAGCACAACTGTTTTTACCACTGATAATAATAATAAGAAGAAGAAATGTTCCTTGAACACCAAATAAGCATTTTAGAATGATTTCTGAAGGATCATTCAACACTGAAAACTGGCTGCTGAAAATTCAGTTTTGCTTAATCACAGGAAAAAAATTACATTTAAAAATATAAAAGTTATTTTAAAGGAGACATATTATGCCATATTATGACATAATAAAATGCATATTATTACATTTTACAATATGTAATATAAGTCTCTGGTGTCCTTAGAATGTTTCTGTAAAGGTTCAGCGCAAAATACTCCACAGATCATTTATTATTTTATTTTGAAAATGCCTATTTTGAGAGGAAGCAGAAACACGCTGTTTTTCGTGCCTGTCTCTTTAAATGCAAATGAGCTGCTGCTCCCCGCCCCCTTTTCCAGAATAGAACTGTGTCATTACATCTGTTTTGGTTCTGATTATCATGTTTATCACGTTGAAATCATGCGTTTTAAACCATATTAGTTTAAACTTCTGATATATGGTTTTCTGAGTGCACACATCCGAAGCAAACGGACAGAAAGCGGCTGTCGCAGCATGCGAGTACTAAGATCTCATTCACACACAAGTTTACGTTAAAAACACATAAGTTACATAAACAGTCGGTTATGTCTGTGAAGGTAAACAGCTGGGAAACAAATGTGTGTAAATGTATCGGTGTGGCAGCAGCAATATACAGTAAATAAATCAATAAATCCACTGCTCTCGTCTCCTCTGAGGCTGGGATTCTAAATAGTGTTCTGTGCTCGTCTGTGCAGCCAGAACAGTTAGCATGTTTTGCTCAAACTTTCACCATGGCACTAGAGCGGGTACACCGTTGTCGCATGCAAAATTAAAATGAAGGAGCAGTGGGTGGAAACTTACAGATTAAGGGGCGGTAATATTATAATGAGATCCCTTAGCCACGTCACTAGGGGAGCAAAAATTTTTCGCTCGTTTTTTCAGACGCTTGCAGAAAAAGGCTTACCAAAACAAAGTTACTGGGTTCATCTTTTTCAAGTTTCCTTGATTGGTAGATGAACCGGGGACCTGATTATAGCACTTAAAACCTGGAAAAGTCAGATTTTCATGATATGTCACCTTTAAAGTGTCATAATATTTCACAATATTACTGTTTTTACTGTACTTTTGGTCAAATAAATGCAGCCTTGATGAGCAAAATAAACTTTCTTCGACAAAATTAAAATAATCTTACCAACCCCAAACTTTTGAACGATAATGTAACAAAACCTGATTAAATGAAGAAGCACAGTCAAATTATGGATGTGATGGGTGTATCACACTGTTTGGGTGTAAAGGAGATGTTCAGTACCTGGTACTGGGGCATCAGCGCCAGGTGGTTGGTCTGACTATTGTCAAATGTTAAGACATCAAACATTCCTACACAGTTGACTCGTAACCTATGGAGAAACAACGAACATTTAGCAGTTTGTGTTTGCATGTTTGGTTTTTTGTGCAAACACTGCTGTGAGAAGCTGATAAACAGGCAAAATATAATAAAGGAAGAGCAAAAACAATCTAAAAGTGAACTTCTCCATTCACTATTTATGGCTAGAAAATAAGGGCCCCACAGAACACTGACCGATCTGTGGTTTGACCATTCTTCATTTCATAAGTTGGTTAACTACAGCTCTCAAGAAGATTCTACAGAACTGTGCTTTGTCTTTAGTTCATTTACCAGTTATTGTATTGTTCGCACAGTTTGGGTAGTAGTTCAGGAAAAAAAACATTTGCTTTAATGTGCAAAACATTACTAATTTCAAAACATTTCATACCAAATCAACTAATGCCCTGCAGTAACATGAATGTAGTTCTGGTTTAAATGTGCAAGATACATGTGGCTGTACCGTGTCTTTCCAGTGATGAGGATCTTACTAGGGTCCATGACCCTGCAGGCCAGCCCAGCCGTGTGAATGGTGCGCAATGCCGAGCTCAGCTGGACAATGTAGGCCCAAATCAGCGACTCCGGTAACAGGCCCGCATGCTGCCGTGGAGGAGGGAGCTCATGCTGCCCTGATGGAAGAAAACGTAAAGTTATTTCTCAAAAAAAAAAAACAAAAACACAACTTTAACAAAACAATTAATTACAAATAAATAATATAAAATTAACACTGGAAATAGGTAATAAAACTGTTTAACATCAAGGTATTAAAATAGTGTATCTATGTATAAGAATAAATGTATATTTTTAGATGTTGTGACTGGTTATTATAATAAGTTGCTGTATTTTATCCCATCGTTTTTAGTCATAGGAAAATACCAGTGCTGCGAAGGATAAACGTGATCATATATGAAAAGACTCCAAAAGGGTCAATGACACAATCATCTAGTGCTGTCAAAAGTACTGACGTCGGTACTGAAATTTGAAAAATGTGACGATACCGGCATTTCCCGCTAGCATTTTGAGCGCTGTTGAGCGGATTCTTAAACCAATCAGACATATCTGTTCATAAAAATCTACTTCAAAACACAATCCTAGAAATGTACTCCTTTGAAAAACCTTTATATTTTAAACAAGTTTTTCAAATACTTGTAAGAAATTAACACGGTTTAATGAATTAATAAGCATTTTTGCAAAGAGATTTTTGAAGAAATAAAAATATTAAACTAAACATTTTTTTAAGAAAAGCTCTTTCAATTATTTATTTTTCTTCAGAAATTCATAATTTCAAAATATGTCTCAGAGCAGAGGTGCGTTCAAGTCATTACATTTGTAAATAGTTTTTTTTAAATACTTTTAAATAAATTAATAGATGGAACAAAAGAAAAAAAAATTTGCTTCTTATCACTGACCCGAAATCAAATGCATCATTTCAAAACCAAAAGCTGTGTTGCACAATAGTTTGGACATGCACACGCACTTAAAAAACAACACATATTCGTACAGTGGTCTCCAAATGCTTTGGTGGTGAAGACCTCTCGGAGGGTCACAGTATTGGAGTGCTGAATCTTCTTCCACATGTCTACCAGCATCATACACTTGGTGTTGACCAGCCTGAAGCCTGTGAATGCACACAAAGACATTTCTAAAGTTACATACATGGGTATTATTAAACCAAAAAACTAAAACACAACATGTCATTGTGCTGCCAAGACACAGAGACTGTTTATTGTTTTAGTTCTCCAATTTTTAGAGATATATTAAATCTAGGTACTTTAATTACCATAAGCACTTTAAAACCCTATTGAACTTCAAATGATTTCATTTTTAGTTATGTGGTTCGATTGGTTATCCATAAATATTGCCATTGCAAAGACCAGTGATTTAAAAATAGAATTCAAAACACAAACATGCAAATTGCCTACAGAAACAGCTGTACATACAAATAGTTAATGCCTCACCATGTATCCTCCTGAGGCAGTAAGGCAGGTCATCTTTGCTGTTGACTGCCTTGTAACAGGAAGTGATGTAACTGAAGTTGCTGGTTTTCTGAAGACGGTTTGGTGGGGGAAGGGGCTCCAGGGGAAAGAGGCTGTGGTAACTGTCTACCTCAGACGGCACTCCTGAAGGAGAGATGGATCAGACGACTTAAATCATAGAACACACCTTTTCTTACACACATATGTGCCAAAATAAACACTTCAAGAATATACAGAAAGGTAGATAACTATGTAAATGCTTTTCAAACCAATTTAAAAAGGCAGACAGACAAAGGATGAGGTTTTCTCCTCAGATAGCAGGTGAATCCATGTGCACTGACCACAAAACAGACATTATAACTGAACAGTTGCCGTGTTGTCCATTGAAACCAAAACACTGTTGACATGGCATGCCAACAAAAGACAAACCACATCCTTACCAAGGTTCTCAGACTGATCTATCCGTGCCATCGTTATCAAATGCCTGTTAATCAGCTCCTACAAACAAGACACTGTGTTACAATAAATAAGTGAAAAATGACAAACAACTTCTAAACAACACTGGCTAACAGATGAGGGCAGAAATCGACAATTACCTGTCGAAGTTCGTCAGCCATAAAGAAGGATGGTGCATTGGCTTTTGGCTGCATGTATGCCACATGAGGTGCCGTTTGCGGATACATGTGATATGTTGGGAACACCTGAAAATGAGAACAGCACATTGGATATTTTAGGTAAACCAGGTAAAGGCAATAATAGCACACAGCAAAGTCTGATTGTCATGGACCATACCATTCCGGCCAAAGGAGCAGGGGTGTTGTCGGTATAGAAGTAAGTTGTCCCACCCACAGTCTCCTTTTGAATCACGTGGGCTGCACCTCCCTGATCAGATGCACTGGTGGGCACCATGTAATTGGCTGGGTTGGGGTTGGGTGTGTGACTGCGCCGCCGTGGGGCTGGAGAGGTGTGAGGGGTGATTTTGGGGGAGTGAAGAGGAGATGACCCAGCAGAGAGTGACATACCTGTACAAAAAACACATATTCAACCAAAAACAGAGTACACTAACCAGATTTACAACCTAAAAGATCACACATTAAAAGACTGAATAGAAATACTAAGCATAAAAAAATTATAATAAAAAGACAGACAGAATGGCAGAACACCAGGTGGTACTTTCTGGGAGTGAGTCACTGACCAGGTGCAAGAGCAGCCGCTGTGGAGCTGCTCAAGCCAGGATGAGGGAAGATGGGGGAGGCGAATGCTGCTGGCACGGTCGTCTGAGACATGGAGGCCATCCGTGGGGCCCCTTTAGGTACAAACTCACTGGCTGTGGGGTTAGGAGCCTGAAAAAGAATCACATATACAAATAGAACCATAATGTTTTCACTCTAACACCTCTAAGAAAGTATCTTTGTCATTTTGGTATTGGCACAACTTTTTCCAAGTTAGGGATGTGTAAAGCAACATTTATTAAAAATTCACTAGTCAGCAAATGTCTCAAGGATCACCTGTATAATTAGGTTGGTTTCTGATTCACCTGATTCTAATCAGACTCGTTTCTTAGGACTGGGGTTTTCAAAGTAGGGTTGATTTGTTTGTTTGTTTGTTTTACCAAAAACAAAACAAAAACAATTAAGATTACAATAACTAAATTACATTAAAATAAATAATGATTATATTAAAAAAGAAAATAAATTATATTAAGATACATCAAATTTGACTAAAAATACATAGTATAGTATTAAAAGTAGTTGAGAAAATAATTATGTAACCCAAAAAAAAATTTTCATAATAAAAACTTGGGTCTTGATACATAAAGACCTCATTTTAAATTTTTGGATGGGGGTCTCTTGACACAGAATCTTAAAATGCATTGTCAGATGCAATGCAATGGCGACTGATGTCCGTCTAAATATATATGGCTTATGTATATTTTCAATCAATTTTCTTATGTATATTTTTAATAACTTTTCTTTAAGGGATTTCCTGTGCAAACTCTCTAAAAGTTAAAACACAGCATGATGTCAGCATAGTAATTAAACTAAAACTTACTGCTAAAAAATTATAATTTTTAAAACTCACTAATCAACTGGTCAATTGTTGGATGACTAGTCTGACCAAAACGCAAGTTGGAACCATTTTTTTTCTATTATGCCTTATTTAAAGATGACAGAAATACAAGTGATTCTTCAATCAACAAAATACCCAGTCATAGCACAATACAAACAGCATAAACTGACATGTAAAACTCACCTTTCTCCTTTGTGATATGCTTAAAGCACCAAAATCACTGAAGAGAGATGACGCTGGGGAATTTACTGGATCTAAAAAGTGGAGCAGACACGTAGAAAAGGTTTTCAAATCTTGCCATGACAGCTTTATTGCCACAACAAACATTTCTACAAAATTTTACTCACCATGTGTGTTGTGGCTGAAGCTCTTGGCACCATCGTTCAGCAGACTCGGAGAACTGCTACTGATGGTCATCCTCTAAAAACACAAGCAACCATCAACATGTGAAGTGTCCCATTATGAATCACCACTGTGTGCTCCATTTGACAGACCCAGTTGCTAGTATTATCTATTGGTTTCCTGTTTATCATGTCACCACACACAGTCACTAGTGGTTATGTTACCTGCATCATTGAATATTTGGACTCTGCTGGGCCTCCAAACCCATTGACCCCAATAAAGGTGCTGCTGAAGTACGAGTTGGTCAGACTGGCATCATTCAGAGCACCTCCCTCCATCCCAGGGACTGCAATAAAGCAAAAACACATGTGAACCCTTTGTGTAAACACAATATCTTGCACAAAGTCTTATGTAAGCCTTTTTCAAATTAAATAAATAATTCAAATAATGCAGTGAATGGTAGCTTCAGTATATAATGTTTTAAAAGATTAATGTGCTCTCCTAAAAGCAAGTTCCATAGAATTTCTCCTGAACACTAAAAAAAGCCGCTTGACATAATTTCCCACTTTACTGTGAAAATGCACTCAGCCTCTTCTAAAGTGTCATTAAAACACTGGCAAACCAGATGTTTGCTATTCTGTTAGTTTATAAAGATGCTTCAATCTTGCCTGTGAACAATGGCAGGTCTTTTTCTATGGCAAGCCATTTATTCATTAAAACTAGTATCTATGCCACTGTTAACACATTTTTGCCACTGAATTCTGTGGAGATGTGTGTAACCACACTTTGGACTAGTATGTATTCCAATATTGATGAGTATCTCTTTTTTAAATATCACTAATAACTATTCATTAAATACTATAGTATTTATTATGATTTTTATTTTTTTTGTACCTATTTATGAGACACAATTATCTATCCAAGTTGTCACTAGTAACATTTATTATGGCACCCGTTTCAAACTCTTTTTTTCCCTACCTGTCATATGTACTAACTAACCAGAACAGCTATTTTGAAGTTATACTAAACCATTACTAGTATGATTAAGAACAAATTATTCTAGAAAGAACTGCAGCACAATAGTATCTGAATGGCAGGCCTACTATGATCAATTCATTTAATACTAGGAAAACTGGAACAGATACTAGTAAATATTAAAATAAGTACTAGAATAAGTAGTAGTTTCTCATAACGAGTGAAATTGTAAAACAAGTGTAATTGTAAAAGATAGTAGTCAATAACGGATTACTGGAGTATTCCAGTAAAACAAACTACTAGGTAGTTTAGTTTTAAGGAATAAATGTTAAAATGCCTTGCCATACCTATCAGTTATCGAAAACTAGAACTAAAACAATTTATGCATTTGGAAGAATATTTTGGAACCAACAGAAACCAAGTAACGTTAGAGTATTAACTAAACGATTTTGCTTCGGTTGTTTTAGTATTTCCGTCTTTCGTTTAAAAGTGTTTGCGCGCTGTGGAGTAACATGTTGATTTCCCGTGTTGTTTTGGTAGCGAAATTTAGGCCGCTAAATCCACGGCCTCGATTTAAACAAAAGCTGTCGTGTGGCCCCATAACCGAACAACAACAAGATACGTTAGGCCTCAGCGCAATCTTACTGGACAACAGCTGTCCCTCCAGAGCTGTTCCCGCGGGACCGAGAGAATCGTTCTTTTTGGGAACGTTTGCCGGAGCGCCGCTGGCCGCGCTACTTCCGAGCACGTATCCCGCCGCCGTCACTGCTCCTCCGGCGAGAGATAAAGAGACGGGGCTTCCTCCTCCGCCAGCACCTGTACCACCACCGTGCAGAGAAAGGCTCGCCATGGACGGGTCCTCGTGCAGAAACTGGCATTCATCTCCGTAAAAACAAGTCTTGTCTTTCGCATAATAACGGCAGAATTTCACCTTCACACCGGGTATTCCGACACCCCCGAGCGGAGCAGCTGAAGCTGGGAGTCCACTGTTCATGGCACCGCTGCTGCTGCTGCTCCCGCCGGAAGACACTCGCACATAGACTCGAGATATTTAGCAGCAGTATATTTTAAAACACAGAGAAACAATGAGCACCTTACTGGACGTTTAGCAATAAAATCAACCTCCTCATCGAGCCAGATGACTAGTCAGTAAGAGCCACACTTTTGTTGCCATGTACTGATACTCGTTATCGGGGTCCATAGCTGGCCTACTAGTCCATCAGCCTGGCGTTTGGCCGGGATCATGCTGTTGTTGTTGTCTTCTGTCTACACTTGTTCAGCTAAGCGCTAATAGCTCTGCTGTGCATGCTGGGTACGACCAGGACTGCAGTTCACATAAGGAGTCAGTAGGGGATTCATTTAAATCATAAAACACATATTACAATCATAATAATAATATATTGTCATTTACGATTTTTTTAAAGTGTTAAAATGTTACATTTTTGTATCTTGAGCTTAAGTGTTGAAAACAGGGAATTTTACTTTTCATATCGTAACTTAAAAATATATATTTTAATTAATTTGGTATTTATGTGTCAGTTTGTGGTTTTAATACATTATAAATTAATAATTTATATTAAAACATTATTATTATTATTATTATTATTATTATCATGTATAAATTTTCCTATTTATAAGAGTGTTGAAATATTGAATACAATTTTTGTATTTTGTTTAAGAACATGGAATATTACTTTGCATATATATATATATATATATATATATAATTCAATCAATTTAATCAATTAATTTCTATTAGCTAAATTAAATCAACATTTGGTGTGATCACCCTTTGCATTTCAAACAGCTTTATCAGGTAGCTTTGCAGGTAGCCTATAGGTTTCTTGAAGCGCCTTGGAGAAGTTGCCACAGTTCTTCTGGATGTAGTCTGTCTCAGTTTTGACCAATACAATTAGTGTGCCTCCTCTATTTTAAAACCCATGAACCGCCACTGGTTGCCACAGTTCTTCTGAATTTAGTCTGTCTCAGTTTTTTCTGTTTTTCATGTCACACCAGACGGACTGGATGATGGTGAGATCAGATCTCTGTGTGGAGCACTGGCTGTTGTCAGATTCCTTGTCCATACAAAAATCTCACTGGATTATTACAATTAATGGCAAAAAGAAATGTTGGAAATGTAAACTGATATTTCCCACTGACACACTACAGCAAAAATAGAAATAACTGGCTTAACAGCTTTGATCATAGGAATAAATTACATTTTAAAATATATTCAAACAGAAAATATTTCTAAATTTGACTGTTTTTGCTGTACGTTGGATCAAATAAATGCAGACTTGGTGAGCAGAAGAGAATTCTTAAAAAAAAATATATATATAAAAAATCTTACTGTTCAAAAACTTTTGACTGGTAATGTAGGACGGCTGATTATTGTTATAGATTGAAACAAATGTGCTTCAGCCAGGATAAAGGATATGAAAAGTGCTCTGAGTTGCTGCAGAAAAAAAAGAGCAACAACCAAAACAAGTTGCTGGAGACGGGCTTATTGAAAATGCAAACTGATTGTCTGCCAGCAGGAGGTGCATTGAGAGCGGTAGAACTTGCGGTTTCTCCAGTAATGGCTGTAATCAAAGCAGCTCCGCTCATGAACGCTACTTTATCAGATCAAATTAAAATGTCATCGAAACTTTTCTGAAGACAGTAGGTTCCCTTCAGAGATACATTCATATAAAACACCCGCGCCACGTTATGACTTTGAACCGTGCAGTGCTAATGTTTATTCAACGAAGTCAAACGCCACAAATAAATCAATGCATGGGAAACACTGGTAATGTATATCGAAATATCGGAAATGTGTTTAAAAATCATATCACCGTTATTGAAAAGAATTATATCGCGATACATATTGATATTGAATTATTGTCCAGCCCTACCCTAGAGCAGGAAAGATGCAAGAAACGGCAAACATACCAGAAACCAATCAATGATTAAGTTTGTAAGAGAAGGTGAAAATCCACCAACTACATCAACAACAAACAACTTCTTACAAAAGGCCCAGGCATGGGAGATGAGAGTAGATCTGGGAGAAAGATTGCAGTTCCTCCAAGTAGTCCAGACAACCCTAAGACCAGATGTGGTTATGTGGTCTGACAAGGCAAAGAAGATCATTTTGATTGAACTTACAGTCCCATGAGAAGAAGGATGCCACCAAGCCTTCGAAAGGAAGAGTGCAAGATATCAAGATCTTTTGCAAGACTGTCATGAGAAAGGGTGGCAGGCATGGCTGTTCCCAGTCGAGGTTGGCTGTAGAGGATTCCCGGCCCAGTCGGTATGGAGAATGTTCACAGCAGTTGGACTAATGGGGGAGGCAGCAGAAAGACCCTCTTGTTTGTTATGGAATAGGAGAGAGGAGCAAAGCTGGAATCCAGGAGGAGAAGATAGGCAGTGGTTTGGCCACCACTGCTGACCCACCAACAGGAAGGTGTTATGGTTCAGGGTCGAAACACCCAAGGAGAGTTGGATACTGTCTGATGACATCAGCTCCTCCTGGCCAAGGCTACATTCACGCAATGTGAATGTTAAAGAAGCATCTTTTAGATGTAAGTAATATTATATATAATATAATAATGATAATAATAATAATAATTATTATTATTATTGAGACATTCTCTGATATTGGCTATATGCCATTAATATCTTCTTTTTTCCCCCAGAAACATAACTAAGTCAAGGCAATCTACTTGCCAAAACAAAGGCGTTTTCTTTTAATTGCTCTCAGGCTAATATCCAACCTGAGGCATTTAAAGAGGTGCTTAAACGTCAGTAGAAGTGATTGTTTTGTGTCATGTGCTGAAGCGACTGTCTTTGTGCCTTGTTAAGAAGTGATGCTTTGTGTCATGCGCTGAAGCGAAAGTCTTTGCGCCTTTGTTCGTTGTCCATCCTATGTCATGATCAGACAAGGGTCGAGGAAGAAGCTGTTATGCCTTCACGCGATGCGTCCAGGAAATAGGCTTTTGGTGGGTAAGTCAGACAAAACATTTGTTACCTGTAGGCTAAGTTACCAGTGAACTGGTGACAAACTAGTTACTTTAGGATATGTACGTTATTATGTACGCATTTTAATGGATTTTATGTGCTTAATTGTGCTGATTTGTATGTTATACGGTTTAATTTATTCCAATATAGTTGTTTTATTCATTGTTTATTCATTCATTCATTGTCGTTCTCTCATATTTGTATTGTTCTGTATCTTGTGCCGAAGTGTTACTCGTGCTGCACTGGAGCGCTCGCGGCAGCGCGGTGACGGACGCTTCAACTGAGACTCGTCCCCAATGTGACACTGATGGATCGGTAAAATCCTTCTGATCAGCCACTTGCTGGCTCAGTACAGCTTTCTGTCTGTAATTCTCAAGCTCTTCTCGAGCAGATATTTTAGCTTCACCCACATATGCCACAGGGCTGAGGTTAGAGATTCCTGAAGATGAATTATTCACCATAACAAGATTTGCCTCCCAAGTGAATCTTACATTAATTTGAATGTAGGCACATGGATGCCTTTATAATTTTTTTGTATTTAATATCACATTTTTTGTAAGATTTAAACATTATAAACATTCAGTTCTTTACTGTAGAAATGAATGGTAACAGGGTCACTAATTAAAAATATATATAAAGTGATTAAAAAAGGAGATTTGTCCTTAAAGAGTTGGTGCTGCTGCTAAAGTGTTTTCAATGTAAAAGGTTTCTCTTGAAGAAAGATGAAAAAATGTAAAATACAAATATTTTTTCACTGTTATATTAGGAAAAATGTCTTTAATAACACACTGTAAAAGTACGCATTCATTCTTAAAGTTAATAGTTATATGTTAATATTATATTGTTATATGCTAAATATATTTAAACACACTGACCATGCAATAGCTTGTGTTTCTCGTGGTTATTTAACAAGATTCTGTAAGAAGGGATATTAGGTCTTTTTCTTTGCATCCAAGGTGTAGACAGTTTTTTAACACTTAACAAGCAGCTAAAAATAAAAGCAGAACTGATGATTTTACAGAAATTGCTGTAACAACCACAGCGATTTGTATTTTAGTGTTACTGTCAAGCTACTTTTGCTATTTTGATTATTAAAGTCAGTGCACTTGTTTGTTTGTTTTTTTCAGACTTTAAGATGCACATTGGAAGAAACTCATTTGATGAGTTCTGACCCAATTAAACTGGATTTCACTGAAGGACAAACTGTGGAAATTTACAGTGCATGCCAACAAAACCACTCAGATGGGCTTAAATGTCTTTGTCACCAAAGGTTTATATCTGTTGGATAGATGATGACTGTTTAATGAAGTTTTGAATGGATTACTCTAATAGATGATGATTGCTTAATGAAGTTTTGCATGGATTACTCACCTGATATTCAATATGTCATTGATAAATTATAAGTTTAGAATTTTATCTCTTAATTAATAATTTATTATAATTTTTTTATATGCTTCCTACAGGATAAATTCCTCCATGCATGCATTACAGCCCACTGAGCGATTTAGAAATGGAACATACACTGTAAACTGTGGCAATCATAATGTTACAGTTGTTCAGTCACCACAAAGTAAGTCAAACATAGAATGGAGGAAATATATTTATATTGATACTAGTACCTAAAACAACATGTGAGTTGTTGAGTTGTTAAGATGTCTCTTTGTTGTCCCTGTAGGGAGGCCATCAGTTCCAGTGCTCAAAGCTATTGCAAAAGCAGGGTCTACAAATATAGCTCAGTTAGTGTGCACTTCTGAGGGAAACCCAAAGCCAACCATCAGGTGGTATGGTAACAGGTAACATGACGTTATGGCCTGCTACCATTGTAGATATACTGCTCCTGAAGTCATGGTTCCTTGTTGGGAGAATTTGTTACATAAAACGCGGCTGTAACTAAATGTCTGTGATTCAATTGTTTGTTTTCCTTTTAGCAAAAATCCAGAGGAGGGCATGAAAGATAAGTGGTATAAGACAGAGAGCATTGTGATGAGTCACGACTATCATCCTAAAAGTCCAAATATGAAGTGCTGTGCCAGTAATTTGCTGGGAGAAGAATGCACTGAGCTTCATCATTTCGGTATGTAATATTTGAATGTGTTTGAAAGTCTCTTATGCTCACCAAGGCTGCATTTATTTGATCAAAAATACAGTAAAACAGTAATAGTGTGAAATATTCTACAATTTAAAATAACTGTTTTAACTACATTTTCAGCAGCCATTATATAAAATCTTTCTGAGATCATTCTAATATGCTGTTTTGCCAAAGCCAACCATCAGGTGGTATGGTAACAGGTAACATGACGTTATGGC